TTTTCCAGGGAGTGGTCTTCAGATGAGTGAAATAGTCTCTTCTCTGGGAAATAGGCGGTTTTATGGTATTAATTTATAAAGAGGTATTACAGAAGGGGTATAATAATTTCAAATGCAGGGATGTGCCTAAATCTGTCAAAAATAGCTTGTTTTGGATGTTCAAATGTTAAAACAAGAGATGTTTGTAAAACACTTATGCCCCCCTCCCCCCAAATTGGAATTTTTTTTTAAGTCCAAGGGAGCATAACTCTGTCAAAAATGGCACGATTGTACCAAAAACAAAACTTGACCTAGATATTCATCTGATTAATCTGTATATTAAATTTCATCTCAGTATGTGCAACGGTTGCAAAGAAAATGAACGGAAACTGCAAATAATTAAATTTTTTTCAAAATCCAAGGGGCATAACTCTGTCAAAAATGGTGCGATCATACCCAAAACAGAACTTAACCTAGATATTCATGTGATATATCTGTATACCAAATTTGATTTCAGTATGTGCAACGGTTGCAAAGAAAATGAGCGGAAACTGCAAATAATTGAAATTTTTCCAAGTCCAAGGGGTATAACTCTGTCAAAAATGGTGCAATCGTACCCAAAACAGAACTCTGCCTAGATATTCATGTGATATATCTGTATACCAAATTTGATTTCAGTATGTGCAACGGTTGCAAAGAAAATGAGCGGAAATAGCAAATAATTGAAATTTTTCCAAGTCCAAGGGGCATAACTCTGTCAAAAATGGTGCAATCGTACCCAAAACAGAACTTGGCCTAGATATTCATGTGACATATCTGTATACCAAATTTAATTTCAGTATGTGCAACCGTTGCAAAGAAAATGAGCGGAAACTGCAAATAATTGAAATTTTTCCAAGTCCAAGGGGCATAATAAGTTCAAGGGGCATTACTCTGTCAAAAATGGTGCGATCATACCCAAAACTAAACTTGGCCTAGATATTCATGTGATATATCTGTATACCAAATTTCATTTTAGTATGTGCAACGGTTATGAAGAACATGTTTTTAACCCTTAAATAGAAAACCTCACACTTTATTAAATGACCATAAAATAAAATTAATAAAAATGAACGGAAACTGAATGGACCGACAGACATTAATTTTAAAAATAAACGGACCGACAGACCGACAGAAAATCAATTCGACAAGACAGAAAAGCAAAGCAATATGCCCTCCACTTCTTCGAAGGGGGGACATAATCATATGTTGCAGACAGATAACAAAATACATGATAACCCTCCCTTCTTAAGAAAAAAAAGGAATTATTGATATACCAGGTAATTGTGATTAATTTTAGATTTAATGAGCAATATTTGGGCTCAGGTCCAAAATGTAAGAGGGCTTGGCAAGCCTCGCTCCTATCATGTTTTCTTACCCTCGGCCAGATATCGCTTATATTTCAAGACAGTAATCTTGTATTTTATATATATGTAAGGGTTAATATACTCGTAGCACTCCATTCCTTAAAAAAAATGGAGGCGAAGCTCGAAGAGACAGAGGCCCATATTACTTTAAGGAATGGAGTGCTACGAGTATATTAACCCTCTTAAACTCCACCATTTTAATCAATGCTTTTATTTATTGTTTGTTTATATAAAATAAAGAATATTTATATAATATAGTGTAAATAGACATTATATATTAGTAGTATTTATTTTTTTATATACTATAGGAAGTAAGCCAAAAAAGTGTACCCAAGTTATTCTCATCCAGTGTTTCCCAACAGCTTCGATAATAAATAGCTCAGTGAAATGAGTACCCTACTACAAAGCAAAGGGTACCGGGTTCGATTCTTACCATGGGCAATAACATTTTCACAAGGTGAAAATCAACTCTGAAAATTTCTGAAACTCTTCTAAAAAAATTTCTAAGTTCTTCCCACGGCAGAGGCATGGAAAGGAAAATTAGAACGTAAAGAAATTCCGTTATTGGTAAAATTTGCAACTCTCCATTCCTGAAAAGTAATGGAGCGCTCTAACAAAATAATGACATCACAGGTGAATTTTACTTCTTGCAAATGCTTAGGTTGTCTATTGTTAATAAAGACTATAAAGTATTTTATTTTAATATTTACATCCACTGAATATTATCTTATCAGACAGCAAACAGCTATAATAAGCATATCACCTCTACAGGACTATGTTCAAAAGCATAGTGCCTAACCTATGTATATACATATAAGCAGCTAGGTAAAAAAATGTCTTGGTACCTCTATTGAATGGTCAGCTAGCTTATCTGCTAATTAAGTCTACATTTTGGGATAAAATTGTATCAGTAGAAACTAATATTCAGAACAAAAAAATGTCATTCAAATAAATGCATATGTAAATTAACTTAATTCAGTAAGATGTAGAAAGTATTCTCCTATTCTTAATTAAAATCTGGTGTGCTGTGAAGTTGCAAAATAAGGACATCTTGAATTTGGTACTAAGCATTCAATATTTGTGCTAATTTAAGTTACCCTATGTAGCAGCTAGGTTAGCTCTACAATCAAAAGCATTGCTTTACATAGTGGCAGCATAGCAGCTACACTGTAGAACACCTCCCAGATTTAAAGGATCAATCAATATAAACAATAAATCGCCTTTCTTTGTTTTGTTAGAATGGGACTTTATGTTGCAGATGTTGCAGAAAAAAATGCATATCCCGCTAACATGGGTTATGCATAGTTGCCAACTCACCCGATTTTTAAACCCGTAACCTGATTATTTTTTATGACCCGGTGGGTCATGCTTTTCACCTGATTTTTGACAAATAACCCGAAAAAACTCAAGATTTTCGGATTTGGTTCGTAAATTAGGTTGCAATATTAATTACCATTCTAACATTCAAAGAAAGCATTTCGTTGTTAAAATGATTTTTATTAAGGCCTCAGTAACCTTACCATCAAATTCTTCATTTTGAAATGAAACATCAGGTATCTCTTGCACCACTTTCAGACAGAATTTAATGTTCAGCTGATCCATTTTCTATCTTGAATTTTCTTTCAATCAGTGGCAGATTGACATACAAAATCTAAAAATATAAATGCTTGGATGTATCATGTTGTGAAAGTTTATGGCATGTACAAAGGTGTGAGGAGTAGATGAGAAATGTTTGGCTAGGAAAGGCATTTTTCACCATATTAAAGTCACAGCCTTTTCATAAAAAGGTATTCGAGCAGCGTCGCTAACCACGGCCAAAATGTACGATCCTATCCCATTCTGGCCGTGGTTGAACGAGGAGAGAATTCTTCGTAGCTCATTAAAATTTTGACCAATGCGAGTAAAGCATAGTCGGAAGATGAACTTAATTGTGACCTTTCAATATCCAATCGCAGTAAAGGAAATATTTCTTGTATACTGTTGACATCAGTTGTTGATTTCAATTGCGATGGAAACAAAACCTGCCACTAACTGAATATGACGTCATTATAGAGAGGCGTAAATATTCCAGATTACGACACTTTTTGTGATCAAGCAGCCACGGGTAGGAGAGAGCTATATGCGGACTCCAGACTGTGGCTTGAGACAATGGTAGTGGAGGGGTCTGGGAATTTTTCAGATTAAATTCTTGCATTCACAGGACAGAATATATGTATAAATATGATCAAAGAATGGTTATTTATTTTTTTCCACCAAAATCAGACGTAACTATATCATATACAAGGGGAGGACCACAGTGAAGGTCTGACAGATTATGTATATATATATATATATTTTTTTTGATATGGACATACCAGTGGATGACAGAGAATTTATTAGTCATGGACTCATGGTTCAAATGTTTATTTCCTTAATCTGTCAGTACAATCAAATGAAATGATTGTCCTTTTAATCAGACAGGTTAGTTTTATAATGCATGCATCAATGTGCATACTACATGGTCTGAAGATGGTTTCTGATAGCCGTCTGGGGCAATTCGAACTGTTTTAATTCTAGCTCAATTTACAATAAACTGACAGCTGATTTAAGAGATGTTATCTGAATGATGTAAGTCGCTTACATATACATTTATGATTAGTCAGCACTCACCGCTTTTAAAAAGCCTATAGCTGGACTTTCTTTCATTTTGTTTACATTCATATTCGCAACAGCCAACAGGGCACATGGCCTTTTCAGGTGACGATCTCTCTCGCTTCAACGCTTGATTCCCTTCTACCTGTAAATTTCATTCCAACATTGCCAGGTTAGTTCTTACTTAGGACAATATCCATACATCTCATGATCTGCAATATAAGACAGTACATGTATTTTGATGATCTGGTCCTACAGTGAATAAAATCTGAGTAGACAAATTAATACGATTATGTTATAGTTTTACTTCAACTTGAACCCCAATCAAAGCATTAAGTTTCAATAGATGTGAAAGACTTACTGCAGAGAAAATTAAAGTTAAAACTGTAAAATACAAGTACATGTAACTGTTATATACTACACCCTTCATACAGGTACATAATGCCCCATTACACAAGCTTCACCTGCCTCTGTCTTTGGCTAATGCCCCTGCTGATGCCCAGCTAATCCAACCCAGCTGGAATCTCTCTTGTTCCATTGTTCTTCTCCACATTCACTTCAGCCAGCTTTCTTCTGAGTGCCATGTCATTGCCGGAGTACAAATCATGTTGATTTTCATCCTAGGACTATAAATAAATAGCCAATCCAATACCACTTCCTGAGAAATGTTTCAATCTAGTTGTTTTTATTTTATAAACTGTTATTTTAGAAATATACTTAAATTATGCCAATTTAACTATATATGGAATGTTAATAAAGAAATATATGTAAATTATGCTAAATTATCTATATGTACAACATAAATCACTAAACAATTCCATTCTTATATGGAAAAGAAGTACAGAGACAATTCGAACTACCTGTTTCTTTGGTAGGCTAGCTCTTAAATTTGATCTGCAGTTTGACAGAACATGATATGATAAGATTTGAAAGCGTAACCCTCATTAAAAGAATGCGTGACACTTACTTGTACATAAATGATAAGTAATAGCAGCCTACTTACAGCTTAAGCTTTGTCTGACGTCGGCTTCTTGTTTATAATCGCACAGCACATGGCCTTTTCAGGTGACGGTCTCTCTCGCATCGACGCTTGACTCCCGTCACACTTGAAATAATAAAATCTTCACGCTTCAAATAATAAAAACTTCACGCTTCAAATAATAAAAACTTTACGCTTCAAATAATAAAAACTTCACGCTTCAAATAATGTAGGAAAATCTCTCTCACTTTAACGCTTGTATCCGTCACGCTAGAAATAATAAAATCGGCAGTCACAATCTTATAATTATTGTGGAGAGGGGAGTTTTCGTTACTGTCACTAAAAAAGAAGTTATCTTTCCTGTTGAAAATAAAAACAAAGTCCCGTTTACACCATTATTATTGTTGCAAAGATTATATAACGAAGATTTCGGAAATAATTGTTTTAAGTTTTTTTTTTTTTTTTTTTTTTTTTTTTTTTTTTTTTTTTAATAAACAAACAATCACTACATTATTATTACAGGGGATGTAATGTTATAAAATGATGAAATAAGAATAATTATGATCTTGAAGTAAAATTAAAAATTGAAAATAAAAAAAAAAAAAAAAAAAAAAAAAATAATAATAATGTGGGGGTACCCTTTTTTTTTTTTTTTTTTTTTTTTTCATTATAAAATGATGAAATAAGAATAATTATGATCTTGAAGTAAAATAAAAAAAAATAGATGTTTTTTTTTTTTTTTTATCTACAATTACATGTATAATATCGTGTCCACATTAACTGGCAAGGTTATTATTGTAAAGTGTGAATAATTATGATTGGAGAAGAAAATAAAATAATGTATACACATTTAACTGACAAGATATAAATGTTGCAGGAAAATAATAAAATGTTGTAAAAAAGCAAGATTTTTAGTTTTGTATGATATAATTATTTTTGGTATAATTATATAGGAAAAAATAATAATAATGTGGGGGTACCCTACGGCTTTCCATAGATATCATAATAATAACTTTGAAATTTTTATGCATAAAATTTATTAATTTTTATTACTTTATTTCATGATCATCATAAGTAAAGCAGTTATCGTTCTTTTTCCGAACTGAAATTTTAGTAATAGTCAATGGTACTTTAAAAAATCTTAGCTATCCAATATTACATGTAATTAAAAGCCAAAATTTCTATGTTTTATAACGTTATCCTGTTGCTTTTTGACATACACATGTACTTCATATCTCGGCAATTCCATGAAAAATTATGTGCATGTTGCATTTTTTTCCTGGCGTAGTTGTTGTCTTTTGCACTTTTTCAATTTATCTATTTAGTGTTGTTGCTTGTTGCACCTTTCATTTTCTTATCTTATATTTATAACGTGGGTATATGCGAAGTAATATGTCCTGTGTATAATTTATCTTTTTTTTCAATACTTTCTTATATAGTTATTGACAAGTTTATGTGTGTTTGTTCTCTCATCTTATTTGCCAAGTCTTCAACTCATCTTTGTATTTTTCATTATGTATATTAATATCCTTATAAGGGATATATTTAAATATGGTCCTGTGTAATTTTTGTACATATCAGCTTAATTTGTTTGGCATTTTAATAAACGCCCATTTTCGACAAATAATTTGTTGTTATATTTGCAAGAAAACAGAGCCGAGTAGATTCATGGATGGAAAAAAGGAATTATACTGAGGAAAGGTGAAGACAATGCCAGGTATAAATATAAATATTCAAGTTATTATACCCCCGCTTGAATAGCGGGAGGGTATACAGTAATCGAGAAGTCCGTCCGTCCGTCTGTCACGCTTTGGGGTACCCATCCGCAACTCCTTTCATACCACTGAATGAAATTTGACGACACTTTGGTTTTACTTTTTGATCCGACACATATTTTGGGTTTCCCATAGCAAAAAATGGACACTGCCATTATATTCATATGGGAGGCGGGGGGTATCATTTAGTGAGCTCATTGCTTATAGTACCTCTAGTTTTATTAAGTGGTTATTCTTTGTAATGATTAGAAGCAAATTATGATAACAGCTTTGTTGTCTTATGATTGTTTCATAATTTTGTTATCAATATTTAAAATGTAGTTTTTGGAACATATAGAAATATTCAAAGTTTGCAAAAATTTGCAATATGCACACATCTAATATGAAAACATTTATATCACACCAATACCATACTGTTTTATACTCATCGCACATTAAATAAAAAAAATGATGGTTTATGGTTCTGCATTAAAAATACAATGTCTTTTTAAAGGGTTGACTGTAAAACAGACGAGTGGCATATTATTTCATTAGCTCAAATTTGATCACTATGTTAAAAATCGATGGTTTCTTCATCTCGAAGTGTCACTGCAAACACAATGCCATATTGTATCTACTTATCAAATATTGACAGCGAAAACATTTATTTTATCAAATCAATTTCCCTATATCATTACATATTCTAATTGTGGGCTTCCTGGATTCAGTTATATTCTGTATGCTTGTCGGGCGTGAATTGATTTATACGTGGCGAAGTTAATTATTCACACACATTGAATTTTCTGATAGAGCAGAACAACAGACAGTAATATAGTATGCTTTAATGAACGGGACTAGTTTTTTCATTATTTTAAGTCTAATCAATTTCAAGTTTTTAACTTATTCATTTCAATAGAATGTTTGGTATATCAAGCCACTCTTAAGCCATTATTAATGTATGTAATTACACATCAGAACGAATATTCATTTCAATTTACCATAGTCTTGTTTTACGTGAATACAAGTATGTTTGATACAGTGTATCATTATAACAGAGATAACTATATTAGAA